AGCGGTCCATGGTGCAGCGCATGTGGGCCGAGGCGGTCGGGCCCGCGGGCGGCGCCGAGCCACTGTTCCCGGGCTCCCGGCGGAGCCGCAGCGTGTGGGACGCCGTGCGCCTGGAGGTGGGCGTCCCCGACAGCTGCCCGGTGGTGCTGCACAGCTTCACGCAGCTCGACCCGGACCTGCCGCGCCTGGAGGTGGGTGAACCGGGACCGCCGGGCCAGCCGGCGTCCGCCAGGGACGGGCGGGGGCGGGGGGACCCCGGCCGCGGAAATCCTTCGGGCCCCCGGCTAGGCAGCAAGGGCGCAGGCGGCCGGAAGGACCCCTGGAGCCCCGCGCCCGGGACCCCCGAGTGCGTGCCAGGTGTGGGGCCCCGACCCGCTCCCCGAGGAGACTTGTTCCCGCGGCGCTGTCAGTGTTTACGTCTGTGGCCTGTGAGTTGCCACCCGCAGGCCAGCCTTCTTTCAGTGGTCAGCTCGGGCCTGTACGGGCAGTGCCGGGCTCTTTCATGCAGGTGTCCAGTGGGGGAGGGCACGAGTCTCGCTTCTCGGAGGTGATGGGGGCCGCCGAGGCCTCCTAGTCAGCCTCCTGGGAGAGAGGGATCCGATGACCAGGGAGACGCGAGGGCAGTGAATGGAGGGAGTCGCCGGTCTGCAGCATGTTGGTCCAGGTGGCCAGGCAGTGAGGGACAGGGCCTTGCAGGCCAGGGCGTGAGTCATTTTTGCCTGATTAGAAAATGTGCTGACAACCTGAATTTGTAAGGATTTGAGAGGATTCGGAGAAGAGGCCGTCTGCCTGTCGTGGATTGCGAGGGAATGGCGAGCTGAGGGCCTGAACTCTAATTTCTAGTGTCTCCTCGGCATGGCCCCGGGGGCCGCGTGTGGTACCCTCTGCCTCCGTCTGACCGTGCCCTAACGCCCTGCAGTGTGGAGTGGGAGCTGGGGCCCGGACGATGGGTGTTTCTCTGCTGGGGGAACCCCAGGCCCAGCGCACTTCAGAGCTGGGCGGGTGTGCAGGCCAGGGCTCTGCGACCCTTACCCACCCATCACTCCAGTCCTCACGGCGGCTGCAGGCGGACCCCTGGGAGTGTGGGGGTGGGAGGCCGACACCAGCCAGGCTCTCATCTGGCTTTCATTATGTCTGGCAATGCCTCGGGCTTTGTGTGCTGAGAGGGTTTGGCCTGAGCCGGGCAGGTTCCCCGCCAGGGTTTTGGCCACTTCTTTCTGTCTCTGCCCCTCCGCATCCCTGAGGAGCTGAGAGGGAGGCAGAGCTGAGCTCCATCCCTGCCCTGGTAGCCGTCCCCAGTCACTCTGGCTCCCTCCCTCCCAGACCTCTCTGCCGCTAGATGCAGCCTGGCTGCTATTTAGAAATCAGAGGGGAAGCTTCTCGCTGGGGCAGGAAAACCAGGGTCCTGGCAGGAGAGGAGGCCACTGCCGGAAACCAAACACAATGACCATTTAGCATGGGCCTGGGGGCGGGGGCGGGGAAGTCCCTGTCCCTCCTGCCAAGGCCCTCATCCTGGGAGTGACTTCCTGGTAGCTGAAGCATGCCAGAGCTGAAGCGGTCTGCCTGAGGTCCCTGTCCTCTGGAGATCGCCAGGTGGTCTCTGTTCCCTTCCTCCACCCCTGTTTTCCCCAAGCCTGCACCCAGTCCTTCCCTCTTGGTGGAGCCAGGTGTCCTCACACATCTGCCTGTCATCTTGATTCTAAGCCAAGCCACCACTGACCCAGCCTGACCTGCAGCATTCTGTGCTTCCTGGGGGTCACCGGGTAGGTGTCCCTGCTTTGGGACAGGCCATGGCCTGGCCAGGCAAGAGGAGTTCCAGGTCTGCAGCTCCTACCAACTCCAGCCGCCACCACCTTGTTCTGCCTGGCATAGACCAGCCTGCAGCAGGGTGCCAACCCCACCTTCTAGGAGACAGGGGCAGAGGTGAAGCCCCTGTCCTAGACAGGCACACAGCCAAGAAGGGTCACAGCCAGGACTTGGACGTGGGCTGGTTTCCCCAGGGGTGCCTGCTGTGTACAAGAGCCAGCAGGGGTCAGAGCAGGACAGGGCAGAGCTGTGCAGAAAGGGAGCCCAGAAGCCCTGGTCAGAGGAGGCTTATTTCTAGTCCAAGGGCAGATGAAGGTGCTCTACACCAGAGGGCAGGGGGCACACAGGTGTGATCAGCCCCAGTGAGCTAGTGCCCTGTAGGAGGGAGGCCTTGTGCTCAGTGATTGGCATGCATTCTGTCATTTGGGGTCAGGACTGCTAATAGCCCATCTGACAGATGAAATGACTAATGTGATTGTGCCGGGTCAGTGAGCCGGTCAGTGCAGAGGTGTATCGTGACTCAGAAAGCCTTCCTTCGAGGCCTGAGTGTGCTGCAGGTAGGACAGGATGCGGTCTTCTGTGTACTTACAGGGTGCTCTGCTTGTCTAGTCCTCTCTTGATCACACTGCATGCAGCTCTTCAGCATAACCCCAAGGCTCTCCACTACCTGTGATAGAACTGGAGACCCAGAGGCACTGTGTGAGGCTCGTGTGCGTGTCCTTGCCTGCACGCTTGGCACTGTGTGCTTCAGGAGGGTTTCCTGGCTCACTCCAAGGAGGTACCCCTAGGAGCCTGGGGCCCTGTCACGTTCAGCAAGGGACTGTCGGTCCCCACGGGCCCCAGAACCTGGCTTTCTGTCTGGGGCACAAGAAGAGGAAGGAGCAGCCCAGACTGGCTGGTACCAGCTCCTCTTTCCTTCTCTGGGTTAGGGACAGGGGGATGGACATGCTCACCTGTTTTGTGGGAGACTTGGGTGGGGGACAGCTCCAGGAGGTGTTAGATTGTGCGCAGGACAGGCTGGTGTCTGATCCTCAGTTAGGATGTCGTCAAACAGAGTTTCCAGGCACTCTCTGCATCGCCGGTGAGAAGGACAGGCAGATTTAGCACCGGTCCTCTTCAGAGGCAAGCTCTGAATGCAGGGAGCAGTTCCAGGAGGCTGCACCCAGGCCATGGAGGACTGGCTCCCGTGGGCAGCTGGCTGGCTGCCCAGGCAGCTCCCACAGCATGGCACCACCGTGCTGTGGCCACCCTGTCCCAAAGTAGGGCCCCCAGCCCTGCAGTCCCCCAAAACACTGTGTTCCTGAACATGCACCTCCAGATCCCACTCTGGAGGGCCTGGAGTCAAAGCCTGCAGCACGGTACAGGAGGAGCTAGACGTTAAGCAGACCCAGCTCTCCTGGAGAGGCAGTGGATGACAGCCAAGGGTTGCCCTGAGAGCAGAGCAGGAAGACTGACGATTGGTGAGCTAAGGTGTAGCCTTGGGCTTTTCCTCTCCCTTTGATGCCTTTGCAGCAGTGCCTGGAAGTATGTTGTCCTTTCCAACCCAGAGGTGGAGAGCTGGGGCCCCGATGGCAGAGAGGTGCGCTGGGACTCACCTGGTCCCTTAAGCCCTGCTCCTCTCAGAGCGTTGGTTTTCTCTGTAAAATGGATGTGATGTTGATTCATCCTCTTGGGGTTCTGGTATGGACCAAGTGAGACAGGCAGCCCGACAAAGCAGTCCACAGTGCCTGGCACAGGTGGCAGCGGCCACAATTAGGTTTTCTGACCAGGTTCCAGGGGAGTGCCCACGCCCTGGGCTCTGGGACACACTGCCCGACGCTCCCAGCACGTCGGGCCGTGGTGCGGCGTAGGCCTTTTTCCTAGAACACATCACAAGCCTCCATGTAGCTACAGTTGTGAGGTGCTGGCCTGGCCACCCTGCACTTGCTTCGTGACCTGAGGAAGTCCTTCCCGTCTCCGACCCTCCTCCACACCTGTGTCACGAGGGCCAGACCCTGCTCTGAGGTTGTGACCGTGGTGGAAGCGGCAGGCAGGCCTGGTGTGTCCCCACCAGCCAGGGGTCCAGTCCCTGCCCTGGCTGTCATTTCCTGCCTCCCGACCTGGATGTGCCCCCGCCCGGCTGTTTCCTCATCCCTCAGGTGGGCTGCTAAAAGGATTAAATGCGATGAGTGTGCAGAGGGCCTGGCACTGCGAAATGGCCACGTGTGCTGTGCACTGCCGTCAGTGGTGTTGATGTTGGGCCTGGACCTTGGCCGTGGAACCAGTCTGCGCCCTCCTTGGCCACCACCAGCCGCACCCGCTCCCAGGCTGGCCCTGTGGTGGCCTGCCTGCATGACAGTCAGGAGCCGGGGTGCGTGGGCAGAAGGACAGGAGAACGAGGCCAAGGCCCTGCCAGGGCTCCTTGTCCCCATTTGAAGCATGTTCTTTCTCCTCTAAATGCCAGTGTGGCCCCTAGTAGGGCACAGGCTGGCAGGGAGCATTCCTGGGGACTCCTGGTCAGCCAGCCAGGCTGGTCCCCTGACTTTGCTTTCAGGGCTTAGAGCATTCCCTCATTGCCATGGCAGCCAGGCATTTTGAAAATCTCCAGCAGAGGCTGGCACGGCTGGGGGGATCAGGATTGTGGCCCACCCCCCACCCAGGGCCGACCGCAAGTCCCTGCCAAGGTCCTGCCTGTGCCCTAGGGCTCAGGGTGCAGGACACATAACCAGAGTTGGACGGCCAGCCCAAGGGCGCAGGGTTGTGATGCTTGGCACTTTCGCTCTCCTTCCCTTGTGGAGCTCACGGTGTAAGAGCTGAGCCAGAACCTGGACACTTGCTCTCGGCCCCCAAACCAGGCCCTAGTGTCCACTTCGACAAAATGGGGCAGGTGCTCGGCTACCTTGGACTCAAACTCTGATCTCTTCCATGTTCTGACCGTTGTGTTCCAACTGAAGGCTGAGGAGCCAGGGGGCTGCTCCCACCACAGGGCTCTGGGTGGCCACCCTCTGAGAGGGGGCCTGGAGAGGGTTTGCCAGCAGGGCCCCAGAGTGGCCTGTGATGACTCCCTGGCCCTGAGCAGCACCAGCCCAGGGAGTAGAGCAAGATCCCCAAAGGGGTAGGGCTTCTCCTCCCTGCCCAAGCGGGGAGGAGCCGGTGACTCAGGGTTGAACCTTTCTCCCTCTGCCTCAGCCCCAGCCTCTTAGGGGCAGCCGCAGTGCAGCTGGAGGCCTCAGGGATCTGGAGCCCTGGCTGTAGCTTCCACAGGAAGCGCAAGTTGGAGCAGGGAGCTGGACCACAGTGGAGGCAAGAGTGGGAGAAGGTGCCGCCCCAACTTCCATCGTGAGCATCTTTGAGGCAGATGGGAGGACTGGGGCACATGCTTGACCCTCCACAGCCCTCACCGCCCCGTTACTGTACCTTAGAGGAATCCGGGCTTGGCCTGCAGCTCCCTCCCTCCATCAGCTGGGGACAGGGCGGCCGGCCTGTTGCCTGTTGCCCTGAGAACACTGCTCAGGTGACACTAACCGCCCAGGGTGTTTCTTCTCCCTGTCCTAGGGGCTCTGGGCTGTGTCCTAGGGACAGTGGGGCGGGGGGGATCCCGGCTCTCCAGGGCCCCAGGGCGCACAAGCACCTTCCAGTCACTGACCCAAGTGTGTTCAGAGGCACAGCTGGCTGTCCCTGGGGCCCAGGGCCCTGGGGACATTGCATGCAGGGAGATGGGATGAGTAGGATCCTCCCCGCAAACCCAGCCAGCCCTGTGGGTTGCTTTCCTCTTAAGAGCTCTGAGTGGCTGCCTGGATGCCTGCCCTCAGGGGAGGCGTTTTCTCCGCATCAGCTATTTAGTAGGCCACTCCCCTCCTCCCCCTTGGAGTCTGGCCTGCCGTATGTCCAGGGGGCTGGCCTCCCACAGGGGCTGTCTGCTCCTGGGCAGGTCTTCACGAAGGCGGCCCAGGGTACCCCGTGGGTGCCTGGTCCCTGTGCCTCCTGCCCGTGTCCAGGGCTGTTGGCTGTTTTCCTGTTCTGTGTCTGGAAGGAGGGGCCGAGCCTTCTGCCTAGGACCGCAGCAGCTCTGTGGTCGCGGGGTGGCAGGTGTCGCAGTGCCTGTGCCCAGCATTGCTCTGACTGTCTGGTTTCCATCCCACTGAGGGAACCAGAGAGGACAAGGGTCGCTCTGCGTGGGCCGGGGCTGCTCCCCATCTGTGCAGCAGAGCCGTGACCGCCCTGTGGCGGGCATCTGTGGCTCTCGACGCCGGCCTGCACCCCTCCACACACACAGCCGGCTGGCAGAAGGGGCCCCTTGGGGGTGGGGGAAGGGCGCGGGGATCACATGACACCCGAGCACAGCCCTGGCCAGCTGCTGGGCTGCAGCCGGCTGCTGGCCGTGACTCGCTGTGGGTCTGCTGTATAGACCTACTCAGGGATGGCCCGGGCTGCCTGGCCCTAGCTCCTCCGTGTCAGCCTGACCAGAGCTGGTAGAGCCCCCTGGGAGATGGCACCGTGCTGGGCTTCCAAGGATTGACAACCAGTGTCCTGTGGCAGGTGCCTCCTGCTTGAGACCCTAACATTGCTGCGGGGACTGAGGTGCTCACGTGCTAAGGCCCAGCTGGGTGGGACGTGGCTGAAGCCCCTGGAAAGGGAAGAGGCTTTTGCAGCCACGCCTGGACCTGTCAGGCTCTGGGAGGAGACAGTGGTCAGGGCTTCTCCCAGCCTCCGGACCACCCGGCGGCAGCATGCCCAGCAGGGGTGGGAGAGTGTCTGTTTCATATTCCTGAGTCCAGGGGAAAATTCCCCCTCAGGTGAGGAGGTTGCCCTTCCTCGGTGTGGCCTGCTCTGTGGGTATGCCTGCAGTTCCCCGCTAACTTCCAAGAAGTGGGGTTGGCCCTATCTCCAGAGGAGGCGGAGTTTGGTAGCTCAGCGCGATATCTGTGGCTTTGCCGCTGGTGCAGAGCCCAGAGTTAGAGGGCAGCCTTGGGTCGCCGGAAATGGACTTCCCGAGGATGGCACGGGAGCCTCCCAGGGCCCCCTGGGGTGGGCGGAGCCCGGCTCAGCCAGCACCTCCACCTGGGCCTTCTGGGAGCTGCACACTGGGGGCGGGGGGGGGGGGGTGACCCACTGTCTGGCACTGGCGGTGCTGGCTAGTGGCCCCATGCAGGGCTTGCACCTCCCAGCTCCTCCCTCGACTCACGTCCTCCTCTTTGCCCCCAGCCCCTCACTACCTTGAACGTACCCCTTCCCTGGATGGCACCAGTGGGAGAGAGCTGGGAAGCCTGGGATGGGGTGGCCATAGCTCAGTGGCCTTGCTGCCCGTGGTGACGCAGTCCTGGGCCAGCCTACACACGCAAGGAGCCTCCACCTCCTAGAACAGAAGCCTTTCCTTTCTGCCCTGGGGCCTCAGGACCGGCTAGGTGACCTCTTCCCGTCTCAGCCAAGGCCCCAGGGGGGTTCTGTGAAACCCCAGCGCTACCACCATTCACATCCGCACCTCTTGTGAGGAGGAACGGGTGCTGGGAAGCCCTCTGTTGCCCAAGCAGCACAAGGCATGAATGAGCAGCAGGGGAAGGAAGTGGCCTCCGACGTGGCGGCCCGGGATGTCCCGCACCTGCCCCAGCTTTGTAATGCTGACTGCAAGGCTGGGTCATCCAGGAACCCAGGCTGGAAAGAGGGGATGGGGGTGAGGAGGCTGGCCCACGGGAAGCCTGGGGGCCGTCGTGCTTGGCTGGGGGGGACGGAGTGCTGGGCAGTGGCCTTCTGCCCTAATGCTCTCATGTCACTCAGGGCTGGAGGTCTGTGCAGCTGCCTGCCCTTGGGCAACAGAAGCTTGCACAGGGCCAGTGCCTTGCAGCCGGTGCCGGACAGCCCCTGACGGCTCCGGGCCTTGTCTTTGCAGAGCTCCACGCAGGAGATTGGCGAGGAGCTGATCAACGGGGTCATCTACTCCATCTCCTTGCGCAAGGTGCAGCTGCAGCATGGAGCTAGCAAGGGCCAGCGCTGGCTCGGGGTGAGTGCGGCCTAGGGCCAACCTGGCCACCCCACGGGGCTCCTTCCCAGGGCTCTGCTTAAGGACCCCACTCCCCACCCCAGAGGACTCCGGGCCTAGGGTCCCACGCACACTTGGCCAGGGGTGAGGGCCACGCTGATACGTGTGTGAGGGGGGACACCGTTTCACCTTAGGCCACAAGTGTTTCAGATTCACTACAAGTGTCCTGGGTTGATCCCCATCCCCCGTCCAGCCACCAGCCGAGGATCACATTTACTCGGGCTATTCTTCATCCCGGGGCCCCTGTGGGTCGCAAGCGGGGCATGACTCAGCCCCATGATATTCTAGAGGGAGGCCAGTGCCAAGATTGGCCCCTGCTGCAGTTGGACCCAGTCCTGTCTGTGACCATTTCAGCAGTGTCCTGGAAACCTCCTGTGTGTCCTAGTGGGCGATCCCTCCACCCGCATAGCCTCTGTTTTCTCATCTCTACAATGGGGTGTTGCGTTAGGAATCCCTCAGACAGTGCTTTTAGTTATCTGAGGTAGGGTCACAGGGCCGCCCCTTTACAGCAGTGGGGAATCAACCGCGTCTGGCACACGCCGCACAAGCACTGTACCACTGAGCTATGCCCTCATCCCCTTTTAGTTTATGTGGAGACATGGTCTTGCCAGAGTGCCCAGGCTGGCCTTAAACTCATGATCCTCCCTCCTCGGCCTCCCAAGTAGCTGGGGCTGCAGGCACGTCCCCGAGACCCTTTCTGTCCTAGATTCACCTAGTGTCCCACCTCTGGCCTGAGGGCTTGGGAATTCGGTCTGAGCAGCGGCTTGACTGTCCTGGTGGTGTGCTGTGCTGACGCTGACTGTGTCCCTTCCCTGCCACCCCCGCCCCTGCCCCCAGTGTGAGAATGAGTCGGCCCTGAACCTCTACGAGACCTGCAAGGTGCGGACGGTGAAGGCGGGCACGCTGGAGAAGCTGGTGGAGCACCTGGTGCCCGCCTTCCAGGGCAGCGACCTTTCCTACGTCACTGTCTTCTTGTGCACCTACCGAGCCTTCACCACCACCCAGCAGGTGCTGGACCTGCTCTTCAAAAGGTGCACACCCGCCTCCGCTCCCGGGGGGTGGCTCGCCGCTTCCTGGCTGGAGCTAGGAAGGCCTTGCACCCCCCTGCATCCTGGTTGGCTCTGTGGAAACTGGAATGCTTGAGGGGCCCCCTCCTCTTCAGAGGGTGTTGTGGGGACCAAGTAGGAAGAGCCCCGGAAGTGCTTGGGCCTCACTTAGCTGAGGCCCCAGGCAAAGCAGTTTCCCACTGGAGAAGGAGGTCCCAGGTTTCATCTGGGGCACCCCGTCCTGGTTCTAGCCAGCGTAAGAACTGGGGGGGGCCTGCTGAGATATCTGGGAAGGAGCTGGTTGTGCAGTAGGGAACACCGACTACACAGACGTGTTTTCAGGCAGGGTGTAACGCAGTGAAGGAGGCAGGGACGTCCCTGCCGTCCTGGGCCCCCTTTCCTTCGGGGGGTCACCCAGTAACACTAGACGTCGTAAGCAGGTACGGTAGATGTGACGCCCTCACGGCCTCCTCTAGATATGGCTGCATCCTCCCCTACTCCAGCGAGGACGGCGGGCCACAGGACCAACTCCGAAAGTGAGTGGGCTTTGGCACAAGGGTGGGCTTCTTGTGAGGACTTGTGGCTCGGGAGGGTGGGGCGCACCCCAGCCCCCACCCCTGTGATTCTCGAGTGGGGTGGAGGTCTGGGGCTTTGCGGGCAGGAGGAAGGAGATGAGTGGTGGGTGGGGTCCTGGGCACCCTGGGAGCAGAGCAGAGGCTGCAGCTCCAAGCTGGGATGTCCCCACCAGGTACCACACTGGGGAGCAACCTGCTCAGCTGGTTGCCGGGGCGTGGTGACCGCGGGGCAGTTGCGCCCTTCAGGAGCAGTGTGATGGGAAGACAAGGCCCACCTGTGTCCCAGAGAACACAGTGCCTGCAGCCTGAGGCGTCCCCGGCGGGTGGGGCCCAGGAGCCAGACTGCAGTGCGGAGGCCTGTCTGAGCAAGGGGAGAGCTGGCCGGGGAGCACAGGAGCCCAGCCCCACAGGGGAGGGGAGGCCAGGCCCCTGACCGCTACCTGCCTGCCTGCCCTCAGCGCCATCTCCTCCATCCTGGGCACCTGGCTGGACCAGTACTCGGAGGATTTCTGTCAACCTCCAGACTTTCCCTGCCTCAAGCAGCTGGTGGCTTATGTGCAGCTCAACATGCCTGGCTCGGACCTGGAGCGCCGCGCCCACCTTCTCCTGGCCCAGCTGGAGGACATGGAGCCCGGCGATGCTGAGCCTGAGGGTAAGGAGGCTTGGGGTGGGGACCTAAGAGGACAGGAGGAGGGGTCTGTGCTGGGCCCCCTGGGAGGGGGCACCTGTCTGGCATCAGGGCAGGAGCAAGGGGTCTTGGAACAGTTGGTGGACCACGGTCTGGACAGAGAGGTCCCGCTGGGCGTCCGCGACTGGGGCTCTCTGTCTTTGGAAGGGCTCAGGCAAGGCCATCACGTGGAACGTCTTTCCTCTCACAGCGTTGTCGCCAGCTCCAGTGCTAGCTCTAAAACCAGCCACAGATCTGGAGCCGACTCCAGTCCCGCTGCTGACATCCACTCCCATAGCAGCACCAACATCAGGCCCACAGCTGGAGCCAGCCTCGTCTTCCGAGCTAGAGTCGGCTCCAGCACCTGCTCTGGAGCAGGAGCTGTCGCTGGAGCTCGAGCCGGCTGGCGTGGCTGCTGTGGAGCTGGAGCCCACTCCAGGCCCTGGGCCATCCGTCGAGCCACCCTGGCCTCTCCCACCGGCGGCCCCAGAGAATGGCCTGAGCCAGGAGCAGCCTCACATCCTGGTCTTCTCTCCGGACCTGGTGGCCGAGCAGTTCACGCTGATGGACGCAGTGAGTGCTCCGAGGGCCGGGGCAAGGGTGGGCTGCTTCCTTCAGGCACCTGCCATCCAGACCTGCCGCTCCCTGGCCCAGAGCCTGTGCTTTTGTCCACATCCCAGCTGCACCATCACACGCCGCAGCCAGGGCGTTTCTGAGCCTCGAGACCTCGACTTGCCCCAGGGCAGTAGACTCAGGTCTGTCCCTGCCTCCCCCAGGGAATGAGCAGGATTCCAGGAGCAGGACAGACAGGCTGGGTAGGACAGCCTTGAGGGGGGGAGGGGTGTACCCAGACCTCCCCCTGTGCGCCTGGGCGCCCTCACCAACCTCAGCACTTAGTGGACACCTACTGTGTGCTGGAGTCCACGGTAGATGCCCCGCCGGGCCCTGAGAAGTAGTGGATGCCACGCGCATGTGCACAGAGCGCTGAAGGTGCGCCCGGTCTGTGCAGATGCGAGCCGCTCCCGTGCTTGGACAGACGTCAGGCAGGGAAAACGCTGCTCTCTTCACCCGACATCGTCCCCCCGGGTCACTCTGTGACAGCGTCCTCAGTGGTCAGGGAGCAGAGCCCCAAGAGTCCCACAAGGCTCCAGCCACATCCTCAGCTTCCAAGCTTCAGCCCTGGCTACAGTCTTGGCCCGGGGAACTGTGGTGTGTGGCTGGGCCGGGTGACACTGACCCTCTCCCCAGGAGCTGTTCAAAAAGGTGGTGCCCTACCACTGCCTGGGCTCCATCTGGTCGCAGCGGGACAAGAAGGGCAAGGAGCACCTGGCACCCACCATCCGCGCCACCGTCGCCCAGTTCAACAACGTGGCCAACTGTGTCATCACCACCTGCCTCGGGGACCGGAGCATGAAGGCCTCGGACAGGGCCCGGGTAGTGGAGCACTGGATCGAGGTGGCCAGGGTATGCTGCAGCAGGGACCCTCACCCTTTTCCACTCTGATGTGGCTGAGGTTGGAGCCCTGCAGGCTCCAGGCTCCTCTTCCCCGGGCCTGTGCTGCCCAGGTGCACTGTCGGGCTCACTCACTCCTGGTGCCAGTTCCTTGGTCTGAGCCGAAATCCTGCTCTCTCTCACCCTGGGTCCCACGCGTGCCCTTCAGGGCTCCCAGGTGTCCGTCTCCCAAGAGCGGGGCTCAGCCAGGGCCAGGGCAGGGCCGGTGTGAGCTCCAGCATGGCTCAAGAGTCGTCCTCCCCTAGGAGTGCCGAGTCCTGAAGAACTTCTCTTCCCTGTATGCCATCCTCTCTGCCCTGCAGAGCAACGCCATCCACCGCCTGAAGAAGACGTGGGAAGATGTCTCCAGGTGGGTTTCCCGCACCCCCAGCAGAAGGCCCCAGGCCACAGACCCCAAGGTCAGGGCCACTGTGGTGGGAGAGCTTCTTGGGCCCAGGCAGCAGATCTCCCTTAGCACTAGACTTTCCTGTCTGCCTGACATCCGGTGAGACCCCATGTGGGATTTTCAAGTTTTTTGTAGGAATGAGGATGGGGTCCTCACCATGCCAGCATGGAGGGTCCCCTCCCAGGCCCACAGAGCCTGCTGTGAAGGCACCTGGCTTTGTGTCAACACCTCTCCCCGCCCCTCCTGACGGGCACCCTCTCCCTGCCTTGTCCTGCAGGGACAGCGTCCGAGTATTCCAGAAGCTGTCCGAGATTTTCTCTGATGAGAACAATTACTCGCTGAGCAGAGAGCTGCTTATCAAGGTCAGAGGGGGCTAATGGAGCACGGTGTGGTGGTCGGGGTGCTCGTTCCTGCCACAGGTTCTTTGCAAAATTCCCTGGAGGAAGGGAAGAGGGATCTCTTTGGCCCTTGAGCAGATGGGGCAGTTTGGGGCGCCGGAGGCCCCGACTCACTGGATGTAGTTCGAGCAGCCAGTTGTTCCAGGAGAGTGCCTGAGCCAGTGGCGTTTGCAGCTGTCCAGCTTCCTGACATGACTTAGTATCCTCCAGACTTGCCGGGTGGATAGAAGAGGGTGTGGCCGCCTCCCTGCACCAGCCCATGCTATCCCCACAAAGCCAGGCCCTGCTTCCCCTTCTGTTTGCACTGTTCTTCCAAAGGGAGAGACTTCCTGAGATGGGAACCTCAGGGGTCCCAAAGGTCCAGACCAGGAGGAAGAAGTGGGTGCACCATGCAGCTGTGCCCTCTGTCTACAGCAGGGGATGCTGCTAGGTCCCAGAGGACCTGTGGGGGCTACCAGGAGCCTCGGGGCCATGGCAGCTGCCTAGCTGGCTCAAAGGCATCAGGGACAGGTGAACTCTCAGTGGGTCCTTGTCGGCCCACCCCAGAAGTATCCACATGACCGGAAGCACAGTTACCCTGCCCCTGGCGTGCTGGGCAGTAGGTGGCTCGGGGAGCTCCTGGTCCTGTTGGACAAGGGCAGAGTTCGCTGGGGGAGAACATGGCAAGGGGCTCCATGGAGGCAGGAAGCTTCTGGATTGGCCAAGGGCCCTTCCTGGGGGACGCAAACACCTTGTCCTTACCCTCCTGTGCTCTGCTTGGCTGGGCATCGTGGCGCACCCCATTCAAAGGCTGATGAGGCTAAAGGTCTGCCCTCCTTGTCCCTGTGGTGCCCCACGCAAATTGCCACCCTCTCTGGGCCTCAGCTTCCTGGCAGGGCAGAGTGAGCAGTCTGGGTGCTGACGTCACAGCAGGACATGAGGTCCAGGGGGAATGTGCAAGCCGGGGGCCAGGGCAGGGCAGCGCCCATGGCAGGAACATGACCCTGAGCCCCGTGCCTACTGGGCAGGAGGAGTCTGGTTCCCACTGCAAGGAGGCCAGGCAGCTGCCCGGGTACCCCACCACTGCGTGTCCTAGAATTTGGACCCTTGGGGGCTGTAGAGGCCTGGAAACCCGTCCTCAACGTCATAGTTGGGGTGCGTGAGGGGTGAGGGGAGGCGGCATCACTGACGCCATCGTCATCACTGGCAGGAAGGGACCTCTAAGTTTGCCACCCTGGAGATGAACCCCAGGAGAGCTCAAAGGCGGCCAAAGGAGATGGTGAGTGCCCGCCCTAGGCCCGGGGAGGGGCGTCCCGCTGCCTGAGGCGTCCCATCCTCACCAGCTGGTACCGTGGGGGCCAAGAGGCGGCCACCAGAGCAAGGGCCTGGCACGTCCCTGGGGGAGGGGTGTGGGCAGGGTCCGCCATACTTGGGGGGGTCTGCCACATGCCGGCCCGGGAGGTGAGCAGAGAGTGGTGACAGTGGGGCCTAGGACGGGAAACCAGAATAGGGGTGGCTGAGCTCCCCAGGCAGCACAGAGGGGTGGCCAGGGCCCCTGGGCCTCATTCCCCCCTTCTGCCTGATGCTGCAGGGTGTCATCCAGGGCACCGTCCCCTACCTGGGCACTTTCCTCACTGACCTGGTGATGCTGGACACTGCCATGAAAGACTATCTGTATGTGAGTAAGCCGGGGCCGGGGCCTGGGCCGGGGCCGGGGCCGAGGTGGGGAGCAGCTTTGGAGGGCTGGATCCTGAGGCCCGGGAAGAGAGGGCCCCTCGCTGACCCCAAACCCTCAGTACTTGTGGGAGCCTTCTGGCTGGCCCCGTGTGCCCCTCCTAGCACAGGACCCCCAGAGCTGCCTGACCTAGGGGTTGCAGCAGGGTTTGACCAAGCTGAGCACAGTCGGTCGCTTGGACACTGACTGCAGCCTGCAGAATGGAGCTGGACCCGCCAAGTCCAGGAGCTCTTGGTAGCCGAGCGGGACCATCTCACATGAAGCCGCAGTCTCTCCATTGTCCTCAGGGAGATCAGGCAGGGCAGATAGGTTCAATAGCCTCTGCCCACAGGTCCCCTGTCCTGGCCCCACAGCCTGTCGTAGTCCTGGTATGGGTGCACCTTGCCCCCTGGTGGGCACTCCTGGTGGTGCAGCCTGCAGCGGGAGGCCCCCGTGGGAGGGGTCAGCTTTCTGATGTCCACTGCTGTCCGCCTTCTAGGGGAGACTGATCAACTTCGAGAAGAGGAGGAAGGTGAGCGGCTGCCGCCAACACAGGAGGGGGGTCCTGCCTGAGGGACACTTGGCTCCACGCCCCCTACTGGTTTATGGGAAGGTTTGCTCCAGAGTGGAGCTGTCCCAGGGAGGTAGAGACAGATTAGGACCCCAGAGAGGTTCCTGGGACTGGCGGTTCAGACCCGCTACGGGAACAGGAAGGAGCCTGCCATGTGGGGTGAGCCCAGAGCACAGCCCCAGAGACGCACCCCCCAGGCGGTCACCGCCCTGTCCTCCCCTCCGCGCCAGGAGTTTGAGGTGATCGCCCAGATCAAGCTGCTGCAGTCGGCCTGCAACAATTACAGCATCGCGCCCGAGGAGCACTTCGGGGCCTGGTTCCGGGCCCTGGAGCGGCTCAGTGAGGCTGAGAGGTGAGGCAGGGCAAGACCCGGGGGCAGCAAGGGCAGGCCACGCCTGGCGCCTGGGCTCTAGCTTTTGGGGGTTCCAGGGGAGCACGTGTGGCTCCTGCCAGCCTCGTGCCCCTCCTGACCGTAGCTACAGCCTGTCATGCGAGCTGGAACCCCCATCCGAGTCGGCCAGCAACACTCTCAAGTCCAAGAAGAGCACGGCCATCGTCAAGCGCTGGAGCGAGTAAGTGCCCGGCCCAGGGCAGGCAGGGATCAGAGATGCTTTGCGGCTGAATGTGGGCTCGGGAGCCACATAGGCGGACGAGGGCCTGGCGCACAGCTGCCCTGGGCCTCAGCTGCTCCAACATGAACGGGTGCTAGTAAGTGATCTCAGCAGCCAGGGCTGGCTGATGCCTGACCTAACACCCAGCCTGGAGCACAGAAGGCCGGAAGGGGCACCGTGGCCCAAGGCCTTGGGGCGGCCCCTCACGCCTCCACCCTCTGTCCAGCCGCCAGGCCCCCAGCACTGAGCTCAGTACCAGCGGCAGCTCCCACTCCAAGTCCTGTGACCAGCTCAGGTGCGGCCCCTACCTCAGCAGCGGGGACATCGCTGATGCCCTCAGTGTGCACTCGGCCGGCTCCTCTAGCTCCGACGTGGAGGAGATCAACATGAGCTTTGTCCCAGAGTCCCCGGACGGCCAGGAAAAGAAGGTGACTGACCGTCCACCATCCCCCTCTCCTCGTACCGTGTCCACACAAGGGGCCCAGAAACCTGGCTCCTGACAGCTTCCAGAGCCCCAAGAGCTGGCTGCCAGCCTGGGCCCCGCAGCACCCCAGCCCCCGCTGATGACCGCGTCCCCCACAGTTCTGGGAGTCAGCCTCCCAGTCCTCCCCAGAGACATCTGGCATCAGCTCGGCCTCCAGCAGCACGTCCTCGTCCTCGGCCTCCACCACACCCGTGGCCACCACGCGCACCCACAAGCGCTCCGTCTCAGGGGTCTGCAGCTACAGCTCCTCGCTGCCGCTCTACAACCAGCAAGTGGGGGACTGCTGCATCATCCGCGTGAGCCTGGACGTGGACAACGGCAACATGTACAAGAGCATCCTGGTGAGCGGGCGCGGGGCACCCCCAGAGGACTCGCTCCGCTGTGCACCGCCCGTCCTCCTGGAGGGGCCTGCCCGGGGTCGGCATGGGCGGGCAGGGAGGAGGAGTGGTCGGCACTCACCGGAGACGCAGGAAGCACGTGCCCAGCCCCCAGGAGGGCAGGGGCTGCAGGGCTGGAGGCGGGAGGTCAAGGTCAGGAGGTCGAGGAAGCATTCGGAGCCCAGGCTGTACGGTAAGGACCTTACTTTCTCACAGAGGGACACAGGGCCTGGGGGTTGCACCGGCTGGTGGCTGTGGAGTGGCCGGCACTGTCAGAGTCTGGGTGTCCCTGGAGCAGAGAGCCAACGGGGTCTGCTCACAGAACATGTGTGGGCGTTGGGGGCGTTCTCCGTCCTCCTCTGGGTCTCTGGCTTCAGATGAGCCATTTGTAGCCACACGCGCACTGCCTTCCCTGACGCACTGCCCGGAGCTAGCGTGGCTGTCAGTCGCACTCACCCGCACGGCCCTGTGTCTGGGTCCCACTTGTGCTCTGGGCCTCTGGGTTCTGGTTTGTGCCACCCATGCTGCTGTAGCCTCTAGGGACGAGCAGGCCTGGGTCGGAGAGGGCCACTGGCCATCCAGCCCGCTTTTCCTCCCTTGGGGTTGGACCGGAGGCCGTCTGATCCCAGCCTCAGGGACCCCAGGACCCCCGAGGGCCAGCAGCTTCCCAAGGTGGCCTGGGAGGAAAGGCCGCTGCGGGAGAGCAGGGCCCAGGACGTTGGGAAGGAGCCTGCTCGTCACGTGGAGGCCGCTTGGGGACCAGGTGGCGAGGCCCCTGGACACTCAGAGCCTGTGCTGGGGAGCACCCTGACGGCCTGTCCATGTCCCCATCCAGGTGACAAGCCAGGATAAGGCCCCCACTGTCATCCGCAAGGCCATGGACAAACACAACCTGGACGAGGACGAGCCAGAGGACTACGAGCTGGTGCAGATCATTTCCGACGACCGCAGTGAGTCAGGGCGAGGGTGGCGGCCGGAGGCCGGGCTCAGCACCACTCCCAGCCCCGAGTCCAGGTCCTCGGCCTCGGGAAACACAACAGCCCGGTGGCAGTGGGCACTGCGTGCCGGCGACCTGCCCTGGGTCAGCCCAGGTGCTGCGGGGTCACCTCACTGCCCCGGCCACTCCTGAGCCTCCCCATCGGGCATCATCCCCAGGGCATGAACAGGCGTCGCAAAGCCGCAGAGCAGGAGAAAAGGCTTGTTGGTGACAGGGAGGCCCATCCTGCTGGCTTCGACAAGGGCTGCTTGCCAGCCAAGAGGGAAAACATGGGCTTCAGAGAGTAGGTGTCCGTGGACCCATGCACCAGCTGTTACAGCCTGAGGCCCAGGGAGGCCAAGGGCTGGAGTTAGAGCCGGCAGAGTCCAGTGTTGGCTGAGAACGGGGTCTTGGCTCAAGGAGGAAGGTGGTAAAGGGCCCGGAGGAGGGACTTGCTGCGTCCTGGGAGCCCTCGGGGGCAAGGCCACCTGTGCCTGGCACAGTACTGAGGCAAGGCCCTGGAGCAGAACCAGTAAGGGCGGGGCAGGGGCAGGACAGGCAGGGCTCTGTCGGCCCTCGGCCGAGCTGGGCCATTCGGGGCTCCAAGTCCCTTTCTTACAGGAGCCCGCACGTAGGTCTCAGGGGCCTGCACAGTCTGCCTCGGGCAGGAGCCTTGGGAAGGGCCCTTGGTTGTCTGGAGCTGGATGGGAGAGCTCTCAGGCCTGTTGTGATCCAGGCCTGCCCTAGGGAGGCTCCCGAGTGGTGAGGGTATCCTGTGGGGGCCCCAGGGAGCACCCCTGACCACCCTCTGCCCCTCAACCACTAGAGCTGAAGATCCCCGAAAATGCCAATGTGTTCTACGCCATGAACTCTACTGCCAACTACGACTTTATCCTGAAGAAGCGGACCTTCACCAAGGGGGCAAAAGTCAAGCATGGAGCCAGCTCAACCCTCCCTCGCATGAAGCAGAAAGGACTCAAGATTGCCAAGGGCATCTTCTAAGGACCTCTCCCCGGGGTGTGGCTGGCCATGGCTCAGCGCCTACAGCCCAGAGTGGCCCAGGCCAAATAGGCACCTTCTGCCTACCTGCCAGCCCAGGCCACCTCCATCTCCAGTTTCACCCGAACCCCTCCTGCCGCCGGGATTGACACCTGCCGTCTGACAGGCTGACCTGGCCTCCGTGGACCACTTGCTGCCTTAGGTGCCTTCTGCTCTCTGGAACCAGAGGACTAGCTAACCTGTCAAGGAGGATGGCCGTGGGCGTGGTGCCCAGGCCTGCCCCCAGCACCACCCTCCAGATACTTCCCTGACACCTTCCCAGGTGCAGGTCACTGCCACCTGTGCCCCAGGCACCCCAGGGCACCCACTCAGCCAGCAGGGCTCACCACTGCAGTTCTCTCCTCCTGCGCATGGCGCTGGGCTGTGACCACTGCCACCACTCTAGCCTTTCTCGGCTGCACCAAAGATTCCATCCTCGGGGCCGAGCAGAGAGGGAGGCTCTCACCACCCATGCTCCTCTCCCCGTGGGCGTCGCATCTCATGCCACTGCAAGTGCCATTTACCACTGCATCTGGGCTGGGCCAGACCACACGAGGTGGGGTCGGGAGGGAAGGGGGCTTGGGGAGGCGGAGGGCAATTGAATATTTGTATAGAAAGAAAAAAAATGTTTACTGATTGGGGCGGGGCAATATTTATTTGTTGTAAATAGAAAATGCTAGACTTGAATATTATATTAAAACCTCGTTTCTACTACAGCCTGGTCAGTGTGGTTCTGTTCTTGGGTCTCCTGCAGTAAAGTAAATAACACAGAGACTCCCATATTTCACGCTGAAATGTAGACTCTCACAGGATTCTGTCTGTTACGCAGCAGCAGGACGGGCTGCACCCTCCTCAAGCGCGCTGAAGGAAACACGTCCAGCTCACGGGCGGAAGTTCTCGTCTGTGTCATTAAACTGGGTGGTGCGCTGAGGCGGGCGCCCGCAGCTCCAGAGATTAAAGGTTGGCGGTGCTTGGAGCGCAGACAACCTCCGGAATCTGGGTATCTTTAAAGGTAATGTTTGCAATAGAAAATAGCAGAGTAAAAAGCTCAGTCTTCCATGGAAGCAACCTTGAAGGTGACAAGGAGGGGGAACTGGCAGAATTGACCACTCAGGGTCTCGAACCTGATCTGACACAGCAGCCGGGGACGCTTGATGAAGAGAGATGCCACTAAAGCTTGGGGGTCCAGATCTCTCAGTGATGGAATGGGAAATACAGTGACTGCACGAGGAACCCGGCCGGCACACGGGTGTCTGTAGAGGGCCTGTAGGACAAGCCACAGGCCGTTCGCAAGCGACAGAAGCAGGCGCTAAGGAGCAATATCTGATATCCAGGCGACTGTATTGTCACACTCAGTGTTCGGTTCCCAAAAAATTACAAAGCATACGAAGGAAATACGCCTTACTCATAGGAACAAAAGTATAACAAAGGGTTTGGCAGAAACTGCCCCTAAGGAAGCCCCGGCACCACACTTAGTAGTCAGCAGTGGTAAGAAGAACGTGTATGACAGACAGGAAAGAAGCAAATGGTAGAGGTTGGCCTTCTGTCTCAGTAGTTACTGTAAATACATAAATGGGTTAAACTCCCAACTTAAAAGCCAAGATTTTGCAGGTGTGGTGGTGTACACCTGTAACCTACCACTGTGGGGGGCTGGCGCAGGATCGCAACTTGAGCGATTTAGCAAAGTTGCAGGGATGTAGCTCAGAGTGAAGGCCTTAGGTTCAATCTCCAATACCAAAAATAATTTTTCAAGAAAGAATAAGATTAACAAAATGGATTTAAAGACGAAAAACACGATTTGTGTTACATATTCAAAGAGATTCATTTCGAATACAAAGATACAAAGAGAAAAAGATGCTCTGGAAATAGTACATTTGAATAATGACAATGTCATCAGACAAAACAGGCAGTACATCAAAAAAGTAGCAAGAGACAAGCAAGGTCAATGTATTTTTGTAGAAGTTTAAATTCTTCAAGAAGGTACAATTAGGGCTAGGGGTATAGCTCAGTGGCATACGTGCCTATCTGGCAAGCACAAGGTCCTGAGTTCGATACCTAGTACCAAAAAAAAAGATGCAATTATAAACAGGCATACCTAATGATACCCCCACAATATGCAAAGCAAAAACTCAACATAATTGAAGGGAGCAATGTATCATTGGAGACTTCCATACCTCACTTTCAGTAATGGACAGGCCAGGTGTGCTACCACATATCTACAATCCCAGCATTCAGGAGGCTGAGGCAGGAGGATTGCTGCAAGTTTGAGGCCAGTCTAGACTGAATGTTCAAAGCCAGCCTGAACTGCATAGCAAGACCCTTTCTCAAAAAACAAAAACAAACAAAAAACAGCCAGTAATGGACAGAAGATCTACAGGGAAACAGAATGTGAACAAAGCTATAAACAACAGGCCTACAGGCACACTCCACTCAACACAGAATCCACGTTCTTCTGGATACCCGAGACACTGCTCGAGGACAGACCATGTGTTAGACCACAACACAGTCTCACTTCACTGAGATCATAGAGTACCTTCCCAGCTACACTAGAATGAAACAAGAAATTAACAGCAGAAGGAAAACTAGGGTACTGTCAAACGTGGAAATGAAACAATGCACTCTGAAACAACCAATGGACAGAGGAGGTCTCCGCAGAAGTCAGGCACCCGAGAAAGTGAAAACAGGAAAACAACATACCAAGATGTGAGACGCACTGAACCAAAGCTCTGCTCACAGGAAAATTTACAGCTGTCAACACCTGCGTTTGAAAAGAAAGATCACAAGCCAGCAAGCAAACTGTACACCTTAAGGAACAAAACAAAAAAAACGAACAGCACAAAACCAGAAGAAAGGAAATAATGGATAGCAGAGATAGAGAACAGAAATGCAGGGGAGAAAATTAGTAACCTCAAAAGTTCACTCTTTGAAAAGAGACAAAACAAAGGTTAAAAAAAGGACTCAAACTACTTAAATTTGAAATGTGAGTGGGAATATTACTACCAGCTTTGTAGGAAAATAAAGAGGTAAGTCATGGCATGCCAGCCAACAGTGAAATATAATGTTCAGCCCTAAAAAGGAAGAGCGTACTGATACGGAGTACAGGGTGGGTAAATTACAAACGTTTCTGCTTAAAAGAAACATCTCAGATAGATTCATAGAGACAGAAAGGAGGAAAGGTTATTTTGTATTTAAGGGGCAGGGTTCCTGTTTGGGATGATGGAAAAGTTTTAAGAATAGTGGAGATGGTTGCAGAACGGTCTGAATGTAATTAACTTAGTTCTAAAAAATAGTTAAATTGGCGTAAGTATGTTACTTGCTTTGGGGTGTTTCCCTCCCCCTCTCCCTCTCCCTCTCCCTCTCCCCCTCCCCCTCCCCTTGTGTGGGTGTGTGTATGAGATAGGACCCAGGAGCTTTCACAAAGTTGACAAGCTGTTTACCACTGTGCTACATCCTCAACCCTTTTCAGATTTTTTACTTTGAAATAAAAGTCGCTAAGTCATTAAACTGCCACAGCTGGGCTCAAACTTTGTGCTCCAGGCTCAGCCTCCCAGAGTGCAGGATGACAGGCACTGCAGGGATTCCATGGTGCACCACCATGCCCAGCTTCTAGCTCTTTTTTTTAAATTTTATTTTGAAATGAGGTCTCACTGAGTTTCCTAAACTGGCCTCAAGCTTGCAATTAGCTTACCTCATCCTCTCAAGTGGCTGGGATTATAGGCGTGCACTCATCTGTGTTATATGTATTTTATCACAGTTTTTTAAAAGATAACGTTTGCAACAACCATTTCCTGACCCAAGACAGCAACTGTCTTCCACTGCTGTGAGAAGAGAAACACTGCATGCTCGCTGTGTCCCTAACTACCAATTAGGAACTTGTAGATTCCAAGTTGTATTTAAGGATTCGGCACTAAGTGAGGAAAGTTGCAAAGAGATCAAACGTGCAGTGGGGAGAGGAGGAGAGGAGAAGTCCCCAGGGAGAGTGACAGCCCCCGGAACACCAGGACTTCACCCGCTCCATCTCTCCTAGGAACTGTGACCTTGCTTTCCCTTAGACTGGAATACTGCGGAAATCCTTGCTGCCAGCCGCAGATTGCTTTCCCTGCTGATTTGCTGTCTGAAAGATTTGAGATGCAGCCAGTAAGGCTACAGTGGGCCTTCGCATAAGCTCTCTGCCTCCTGGAGCCGGGCTCCTGCCTCCCTTGATTTCCTGTTCCATGGATTTCACCCCGAAACACCCCAGATGGCCCCAACTCACTACCAGGTTCCCGGAGGCCACTCTGGGGCCTCTGGATGAGGCTGAGAGCTGACTCCTGCCAGCAGAAGACCCCGCCCTCAGCTGCTGTGGACAGGACTTGTCCCCTCTGAGATGAGGATAGTGCTGTGGACTTCCTGCAGGCTGGGGTGGTACCTGCCAAGAGACTGCTGTGTTCTGGCTGACCTATGGCCATGCTGGCGAACCGGTGGTGTGTGCCACAGCAGGAGCACGGAGCCCTCTCTGCAGTGCTGTCACAAGTTGTATGAGTTTTTTCTAAACTGAAATCTCAGTAATCAGGTTTAATTGCAGCGTTGGCACTCTGTGACAAATGAATGGGTTTTGGGTTCCAGTTGGTCACTCAGTCTCTAAAAGGTTTTCCATCACTGGCCAGGAGGCCACGGGTCTACCTTCCCCCAGCCTGCTTGTGGGGCCAAAGACAAGGTCCAGATGAGCGAGATGGGCTTTTATTCAGGAAGAGCTCAGGAGAGGAGGCAACCCTGGGGCCCAACCCTGTGGCCACTTGGGAACAGGTGCGTGGACACTAGAAGCCAATGGCTGCAGGCATCTGAGGTGCCAGGGAGTCATCTGCAGGGGGCACAGGGGCAGCTTCAGAGCCATCTGCAGGGGGCACAGGGGCAGCTTCAGAGTCATCCAAAGGGGGCACAGGGAGGGCCTCATCAACTGCTGTGGGCAGCTCCTGGTAGGTCAGGGTCCAGAAATGCAGAAAATTGGTCCTCAGGTGCTGCTTCATGGAGCTGCTGTCCATCTTCTTGGTGATCTCCAGGTAGTTGCCGTCCTCCATGGTGTAGGGGTACCAGTGCGTGGGCACCGCAGAGTGGCCCGTGTTGGGGTCCCTGCGGAGTGAGAACTGGCTGGGTGGCGGCCGAGGGCCCTAGGAGCC